GTCAGTAGATAGATGTTAATCTGGCATCAGTATCTAGACATTTGAGGTTTATTTTTGTCATGTCTCTATCCTCCCAAGGCAGCATGCACATATAGAATCACTGGCAGGGCTACCTGAGCACCATGGAACATGTACAAGGCTGGGGTCCTGTCTGACTTTGGTAGTTGTGGTACAGAGTGGATTCAAACTCAAATTGGATTTTAGGTCACATAACAAAACCACTGAAGGCTGTGGGTGTAGTTCAGTGACAGAACATTTGCCTAGCATGTGTGAGGACTTGGGTTTGATTCCCAGCATGACAAAAAATAAACAAGCTGCTCATGTGACAACAAATAAACAAGCTAGTAATCCCAGCCACCTGGGAGGCCTGGGAACCTAGCAAGACCTTGTCTGAAAAAGGGGTGAGGTTGGGGCTGGAAATGCAGGTCAGGACTCCCTGGATTCCCAGTATCAGAAAAACAAACATCACTGAGGACAAAGATGGAGATGCAGAGTCACTGCATATGTACAAGCTTACCTGGGGCTGAGTGAAGGACTAACTCAGTAGGTGCTGGCTGTTTATTCCCCCACACCCCAAACTTGGCTCTTGCTAGGTTCCTTGTCCTTGGAATATTCTGCCTGGTTAGGACATCTCTGTTGACTTGACAGAGTGCTTAGGCTAGGCCAATTTATGTTAACATTGTGATTTTGGGTCGAGTCCTTGGACCACACGGTATCAGCTTGATTTCTGAGACCAAAATCATCCATGCTTGAGTGACAGGACCGTGCTGCCTTCAAACACACACAGCATAAAAAGAGGACATTTTGTTGAGAAGGGTGGGAGTATAAGGCTATGAGATGAAAGACACTGTTTCTCTTCAGCAAATGACATTTAGAAATCTACTGAAAATTACTTGATTTTGCAACTGTCTTTCTCCTTCTATCAGCTTTTCCTTTTTCTTTCTTTCTTTCTTTTTTTCAGTGGTATTGGGGATTGAACTCAGGGTCTCATGAATGCTACATAGTACTCTACCACTAAGCTTCTGGTCCTTTTTAAATTTTATTTTGCTGAGTTATCCAGGCTGGCCTAGAACTTGCTACCCTCCTGTTTTGGCATCCCAAGTATCTATCAACTTTTGTTAAGAAATCTAGTATATCAGGAGTACGCTACTCCAGACCAACTTTCTAAAAAATGAAGGTATCACTCATAGCAGTGTGTCCACTCTAAATTACAGGGATATCCTGAGTAGATGGCTATGACTCCTGAGCTAGGATGAGTGCTCTTGTCTCTCCCATCAGTTTTTATTTTTTAAAATAGTACTGGGGATGGACACAGGGTCTTGCACATGCTAAGTAAGCACTCTATCACTGAGGTACATCCCAGATCGCTGAGGTACATCCCAGACCACCTCCTCTTTTCTGAACCTAACATTCAGTGTTCTTTGGTGACAGTAAAGTAATAGAAAAATACTGCTATGAACATAAGAAAGATTTGCCAGATGTGGAGCTGAGCATATCATGCTTGAATACTGCCAAACACCAGTCTGTTTCCACTGGTGTTGCTGTGAGAGCCATACAGGCTCCAGTTTAATGCTGGTTGGTGGCTCCTGAAAACCTTATTGGAGTATGCTAGACAGCAAGAAGGGAAGCACAGTGTCCTGCACAGGTGGGCAGCCTCAGTCAGGATAGTGAAAATAAGTATAAAAACCATGTCCATATAGAATGAAAACGGGCCCACCAAAAGTTGCAAATAATTCAGTGCTCATTATAAGGGACTGGCTTCTTAAATATAAGCCATTTGCTTAATGGAGTACAATGTAGCCATTAAAAAAATCACTCCAAAAGCTTGGCACACATACAATTACACATATAATCTTAGCTACTCTGAGGCTGAGGCAGGAAGATCACAAATTCAAGATCAGCCTGGGGCACTTAGCTAGACCCTATCTCAAAATAAAAAATGAAAAGGGATGGAATGAACATAGCTTAGCATCAGAGTACATGCCTGACTGAACTCATGAAGAAGATCCTGAGTTCAATCTCCAGGTAGCACAAAACAAAACATCCTCCTACAAAGGAGTTTATTATATATTATATTCTATTAAGCAATATACAGACTAGAATGCTTAACTTTAAGTTAAAAAAATAAATATTTCTGCATAGGCCTATAATCCCAGCACTCAGGAGGCTGAAGCAGGAGTATTACTACAAGTTTGAGGCCAGCATGGGTTACATAGTGACCTCAAGGACAGTCTGAACTACATAGTGAAACTCTGTGTCAAAAAAATTATATAATATGTGGTTTTTATTTATAGACTATCTGACTAAGCTAATGGTAACTGGCTGCCTTAAGGGAAGAAGGAAGCTAAGGCCAAGGAAGGAGTGGGTGGAGATTTTAAATCCATTTGTGTCTTGAACTTTGAACCATGTAATTAGAGTCTTCGTCAAAAAAATTAAACTTTAGGGGAAAAAAAGACACTTATTAAGCAGACAGAGAGTGAGCTGCCTACAAATTATCTGTGCAGTTCCATAAACTGTTTACCAGATGAGCCAGGTACCTTCCCTGTTCTATTTCTCCTCTAGATTTTGGTGGTCATGACTGGTGGCCACAGCCTTTTCCAGAAACAAACTCTTTTGTTAGAGGTGACTTAAGTAATTTTCCTACTTCTGCCAAGTTGAGAGTGAATTATGACCTTCCTAACTAATTAGTATTCATAAACTCTTTAAAGTTCTACAAAAATGTGACCTGCATTTGGCATGTTCCATAGTAGCAGGTATACAGCAGGCACCCACCAAGGCTGGGAGGTTAGCAGGGGAACTGGGGCCTGCTGGGTGCCAGACTCTGCAAGAGAAGTTCAGGTTCCCAATATTGAAGGGAAATGAAAGAATGACTCAAAGACAGTTGTAGAATATGGGTGATGATAGGGGCGAAGATCATTCCTGACTCCCAGGGTCTCTAATAATTGAGAACTGATTTAATCCTGGAAAAATTCAACATGTAATCACCTTGGGAGACAGGCTGCTGCCTGGCTAGTTGTACTGTACTTTTCTGAGTAACACCCAGGTCAAGCCCCCTACATCAGAGGTGTCACCCTGCCTTGGTGGTCACAGTCCCCACTTTGGAAGATAATGGGACATATAACCACAATTTATATCACACAAATATAATAATATTTGTTTTTTCCTCCTGAGTTATGAGAACAGACTTTTCCCTCTTTTCAAAACCTCCTAAACTGCTTCCTCCCCGCCCCCACCCTTTTAAAAAGTTTTATTTGTTTCTTCTTGCTTTGAATAGTCCTGTCCATGGTGTCCCTGCACAGGAGCTCAGGAACCCCATTGTTGGGCCAACACATTCACATATTTTTTGTTCCTCCCTGGATCCTTCATCTTCACTCCTTGTGCCTAAAACTCAGCCTTCAAAGCCAATTCAAGTTCATCTTCTATCACAATAGTCTACTTTACATCACTCTGATTCTCTCTCTTTCTCTCTCTCTTAGACAGGGTCTCACTATGCAGTGCAGTCTGGCTTTGAACCCTCTACAGCGCCCAGGATGGACTCAAATTCATGGAAATTTTCCTGCCTCAACCTCCTGAGTTTCTGGGATTATAAGTGTGTGCCACCACCTGGCCATTCTGATTTTCTACTTCACTTTTTTCCTCATAGTTTTCAGAGATGTCTCTTCAAATAGTTCTTAGTTGACTTCCGTGGCCTTGGGGTCCTCAATCAAGTGACAAGTTCACCATGGCCTTAAAACCTCAAGTGATCCTTCCAATTCTAAGCCAACACTTCCCATTTGGCCTGAAATATAGAAAACTAGTCCACAGAAGAGGAAAGAACTACAAGCAAAACTTCCCAAGACGACTAAAGGCAGGAAGGTAGATCAATGGTGGATAATGTTACCAGAGAAACGGGGAAAGGAATAACCTAAGAAAGCAGAAGTGGGGAAATGACACAGATGATTATTTGAGAAGTTAATCTATGCACTCACACTTTTTTTACGCCTTGAGTGCTCAGATGAGAATGAATTTCGTCAGAGAAGTGGAAGATGACACTTTAATTTCACGTACTACGTTTCAAAACTACGAAATATGTAAAATTATACTTAGCCAATGTATCAGAGATCTCTTTCATTTAGTAAGCTTTTCCCCCCAAATTGGGTAGGGTGTCACATGCCTTTAATTTTAGCACTCTGGAAGCTGAAACAGAAGAGAATCTTTGATTTCAGGACAGCCTGAGCTATGCAGAGACAAACCAAAACGACTTTTTTTCCCCCTCTGTTCAAACATTAGTAGGCTAAGGTGGGAATGTGGTAAGAATAATCCTCACTGAAAGTTCTATGCTGATGGAAAGAAAGATTTGACACAGATGAAATGGAGCAAGCGACTGTTCCAACTCACATGCCATCTGTATAGAATTTAGGAAATAAAGTAAGGCCTTAGGTTCAATCAAACTCAGGCTCTGGCTTATTCGGCAGTGTGCAAAGGGGACTTCAACATTCTTTCTAGTGCTATGGAGACGAGGTGAAGGATGAGGTAAGGACTCAAGGCCATTCATCACCTGACATCTGCAGCACACAGTCCTCACTCCTTCTGAGTCACTCCGGAACAGTCTAAAGTTTCTTTACAGGTTAATGTTTGAATTTGTCCTACTTGGACAGGACAATCTGAACTAGACATAGAGGAGAAAAACTAAATTGAATAATACATGAAGATTTCTGAGGTAAACCGTCTCTTTCAATACTCCAGAAACATACCTGTTTACATAGTTAAGAGATTACTACAAATCATCAAGGCACTACATATAACAACATTTAGTAGTCAATTCAAGGATTCTCTTTTTTTTTTTTTTCTTTCGGTACTAGGGATTGAACTCATGACCTCGAGCTTGCCAGGGAGGCACTTACACCGCTGAGCTAAATCCTCGGCCCAAGGATTCTCAAAAGATTGTGAAAAAATATTTTTCGACCGCGTTTGACAAGGCAGAGGCTGCCCAGTTTAGCTCCGTCATGCCCCCGGCTCACCTCACAAGAGGCGACCCCGACCTTCTCGGACTCGTACATGAGAGACAGAGACCGGCTGGTACTGGCTGCTGTGGCCTCCGCCCTGCGCAGCACCTCCTGCCGCAGGTACTGTTGCCGGTCTGTGGGCGCGGCGAGTCCGTCGGGGAGGTCACGGGTGTCCCTCCCCGGAGCCTGCCGCGAATCTTCGTCTTCCGCATCGTCGTCGAAAGGGTTGTAGCTTCTGGGGTACGCTGACATATCGCCAACGGTAATCGGGGTCTGAAAACCAGAAGATCAGTCCCTAAACCGCCAGCGCCACGCCCCGTTTGTCCACTTTGGGGTTGCACAGCAAGCGCCTTCCGCGCTTATTACGTCACAGTCCCGCCTCTGGGGCCAACCATAGTGATCGGCAACAGGGGGTGATGCACGTCCGGCGCACTAAAATGCGGCCAACCTCTCGGCGCCTCTTCCCGCATGGAGCTGTGGGACCGCCCCCACGGCCACGCCCCACCCAATGTCAGGACTAGGCAGGTCACGTGGCGGGGAAGCAGGATGCGAATGCGCTTGCGCCCTGAGGTCTGGCGCTCTCGGGTGGGGTCCGGTGAGCCGGTGGGCAGGGGCGCTGGGCGCGAGATGATGGCGACGGCCGGGGCCCGGGGATCTGGGAGCGGCTCCGGCTCCAGCTTTAGCTCCAGCTCTGGCTCCAGCACCTCTCGGGGCTTTTATTTCAATACCGTCCTGTCACTGGCCCGCTCCCTCGCCGTGCAAAGACCGGCATCCTTGGAAAAGGTAACCCGGGCGGGTTCCGCCGCGGCTGACAGGAGGCGGGCCCTGGCGCAGGAGCGGGAAGGCGGGGCGAGGGATTGAGGGAGGCCGAGTCTGGGGTTCCAGGCAGAGAAGGACTCTTACAGGGGGGTTTGGGGAGTTGTGGTGGTCCATAAGGCCAGGGCTGGTGAAGAGGGTGGCCGACCTCTGAGGGGCAGCAGGGTGGGCGGTGACGCTGCGGATGGGTGGGCGTGAAATGGTATCTTGTGACTTCGCTGGCGCGGTGACTGTACCGTGGGCGCTTGAGAGCAGTGAGACGAGCCAAGCACTCAGCTTCTTGGGCCTCTGGTCCTGATTTTCTCCTGTCTTTTTTTTTTTTTTTATTCGGTGACCTTGGGGAGATGTTCTGTGAAACGGGGGTGCTTTTATGTGATATGCTTTGTCCTCTTCGCCCATTATGGTGAAGGCAGATGAATCACTGTTTCTGAAAGTGCTTTCTGAACTGTAAACCAACTGCACGTTATTATTATACGAGTCTGAGCTATTAGACTTGCTAAAAAATCGTGTGTTTGAAGGAGGGACAGTGGCAGGGATGGAACTGTGAACTGTCGTGGACATTGCTGAACTGGGTTTGCTTCAGAAGAGAAAGCACTCTTGCAGGAGGAATCCTTACCTTATTCCTGAAATGAAAGGGAACTCAGACCTGTGCCTGGTGTGGTGGAAAGAACACAAATTTTGATACCTTTCTGTCACTTGCTATACATCCTTTTAGGCAAGTTATTTGAATTCTCAGAGCCTCTGATTCCTTGTCGGTAGTGTGGCTGTTCTTGAGGAGTAAATGAGTGGTATTTTGTTTTGTTTTGTTTTTTGGACAGGGTCTTGCTATCTGGTGTAGGCTGCCTTGAACTCATGTAGCCGAGGCTGGATTCGAATTTGCAGTAATCCTCTTGCCTCAGCCTCTCAAATGCTGGGATTAGAGATTCGCGACACCACCCCTCAGTGATGAGTTCAAGTATGAAATGCTTTAATGATTGCTAGGCAAGAATAGATGAAAAATAGTCAGCTTTCTCTGCTCACCAGCTTGTGATGAGATCTCAGTACAGTGTTAGCACTGAAGGAGTGGGGTGGTTTATCTTAAATTTTTTTTGCACGTGGGAAGAGGGCTTCTCTGACAGGATAAGAGCAATGATGACTGCAGACGACTGCGGAGTTGGGTGTGGTTTTGTGATTCTGGTGATGGATAAAGCTGAAAGGTTATTTTAGCTATTTAGACAGAGTGAGCTAGTCCTTGGCTTGGTAGGGTCTCAAGTATGATTTTATTACCTCAGGATGAACAGGTCTTGGGAGACTGATGCCAGGCTGGTTCTTAGTTAAATAAGTACAAGCTGGACATGGAGGCATGTGCCTGTAGTCTCAGCTACTCATAAAGTTGAAGCAGGAGGCTAGTATGAGGCCAGGAATTCAGAGTCAACCTGAGCACCATAGCAAGACCTCCTCTCAAAAAAAAAAAAAAATTACATGCAGTGGCTTAGAGGCTGAACTAGGAGGTTACAAGTTCAAGCCCAGCCTAGGCAATTTAGTGAGAATGTGTCTCAAAATTTTAAAAAAAGTGTGTGTGGAGGAGGGAACTGGTGGGGTAGCTCAGTACTTTCCAGGTCCAACCCTCAGCCCCCTCCCTCCAAAAAAAGTACAGTTGAACCCAAAGAACATGAATTTGGATGATAGAACCAGGTCAGTTTCCCATTCTGACTCTCTAATTTCACTTTTTTTAAAAAGCAGATACTAGATTGGAATATAGTGAAGATCAACAAGATGACATAAAGTCAGGTCTCTGGGTATCCAACAAAAGATCACTAGTGTCTTTAGATGAGCCCATGTGTTATGGGCCAAAGTGCTAGTTTATTAAATTAAACTTGTGTCTGGTACTGAGCACATTTTCTTCTTTTTTATTTTTGGTAGGACCAACAAGCCTATCAAATTTTGATTGTTTGATTCAGGGAGAAAAGAGAGTTCAGAGAATTGGGTGATCTTTAAGATCATGGTCCAGTAATTTTAACCATGATACTAACCTTTCCCATTCTTAAAGTGCACTTTGGAAAAAAAAGAAAGAAAAAGTACACTTTGAACTGCACTTTGAACTCAACTTGCCTGCTGTCTTCCCCTCTAGTAACAAGTGTATTATGGGGATTTACGGTATAGCTTAGTAATAGAGCATGTGTTCATCAAGATTACAAGATATTTTATAATTAACGCTGCCTGAGTTGGACAGCTCCTTAATGTCAATTACTTTGGCAAGTGCTTTAGTCTTACTGACAACATTTACCAGTGTTCTGTGCAGAAGAGTTAACAGAGCAGGTCTGAGGTTGCTGTCTTTATAGGAGCCTGCTTGCAGGTCTGGCCTTTGGTTGTCATCTGGGAATTCAGAACTGTTCCCTTCATTCTCTAACTGATAATGGTGGTTCACTGTGCCCAGGATCCTTGTATCTACAATATGATTTATGTCAAACATCTGCTTTCCTTCTGGAAGTTTGGATTTGTTTGCTTGTTTGAGATAGAGTCTCACTGTATAGGCTAGCCTTGAATTTGCTGTGTAGCCTAGGCTGGCCTCAAAAGTCTTGATCCTTTGGCCTCAGCCTCCAGAATGCTGGGATTACAGGTATGTCACCACACCTGGCTGGGAAATGGACATTTTGGTACTTAGTAGATAGTGACTGTGACCAGCTTTCAAAAAAACCTTGGATCCTGAGTTTTTGCTGAACTTCTCTGGGCACAAACATTGCACACATATTACTGTACTTTTTATTATTGTGGCAAGGAACAAATTGATGTTTTCCCTCACTGGACAGAGAGAACATAGTGAAGCACAGGCATTGATTTCTTTATAAAATATCTGTCTTTTTTTCTTTGCAGATGGCCTCTCACTATAATAAAAATTAGCCATGTCTATAATTATATATGTATAGGCATTTTGGGGAATGGTTGAGACAGTTTATATTGTGGAGGGGGCTTCTGTAGGTGGCTGATACCATCAAATATATGTGAATTCTACTTATCCTCATCTTGGGTCTTTTTTTTTTTTTTTAACAAAATCTCACTTCATAGGTTAGGCTGACCTTGACTTCACAGGGATCCTCCTGCCTCAGCTTCCTGAGTGCTAGGATTACAGGTGTGTGCCACTATGCCATCTAGGATCTTGGGACTTTGTTATGCCAGGGATCATTGTTACTATATATTTAGTTCTGTAATACGTGTCTGCTTACTACATTTCTCTATTTTAAAACAGTTGGCAAAGGTTGGGGATTTAGCTCAGCGGCATAAGCGCCTGCCTTGCAAGCAGGCAGTAGTGAGTTCGATCCCTGGTACCGGAAAAAAAAAAAGGAAAATGACAAAACAAAAACAAAAACAAAAACAGTTGGCAGAAAACTTAAGCATTCCTAAGGAAAAATTCTTGAGGTTTCTAAGACTATAGGAATTTCAGAGTATTCAACTGGATTAATAAAGATAGAGACTTAAGGGTGAGATGGGTGTTGAAAAATGAACCCCCTCATGTCTATTTTTCTGTTTTATTCCAGAGAGTTGCCAGAGGACTGAGAGAGGCTTAGGTCAGTAAGATAGGATTAACCTGGGGAAGCTCAGTTTGCTGGTCTGTACGTGATAACTGAGTTCAGAGATTGGTAATACAGGCACCCCAGAAATGCTTTTAGTGGCAGTTGAGGCACCTTAATGACAGACCTTTTCTTTTGTCCTTCTACATGCCTCAGTTGTGTTTATTTATTCTAGTCTCCACTCTAATCTCAATTGGTGACACCACACCAATCATTACTCAGTACATTTTTTTCTATAGTTACTTCATTTATTCATTCAGAAAATTTTGATTGTTTGTTTTTTCATTGGTACTGGGAATTGAACCCAGGACCTTGCCTGGCAGGTACTTGAGCTGCTGAGCTATATCCCTGGCCCTGGAAAATGTTTATTGAAGTACCATTTATTGGTATGCACTAAAGCCCAGGCAAAGAAGAAATACTAGTCTTAATTTTGTTGCTCAGGTGACCCACGAGTGAAGATTTTTTGCCAGTTCTCTCATCTATTGTTATATTCCAAGCCTGGTGAACAGACTCCTGCTGTGTTCAAATAGCTAAACCTTTGGACATCTGTCCTCTTGATTTATAACTGTGTTTTGATGTTTTCCTGCCAGGCTGCTCCTAAGGCTGGAATTTCCTTGCTGAGACTTACCCCTAGGATTACATCCTACCTCAGGACATTGTAAAGCCCTCTGCCCTATCCCTCAGGAATATAGAGGAGAAAAACAGATAGGAAGAATGTCTTCTCTTTCCTTTTTTTTTTTTTTTTATCGGTACCGGGGATTGAACTCACGACCGCCTGCTTGCAAGTCAGGTTCGCTGAGCTAAATCCCCAGCCCTGAAGAATGTCTTCTCAACAGTATAATAAAGCCAGGTACATACCTGTAATCTTAGCACTTGGGAGCCTTACAAGTTCAAGCCCAACCGGAGCAATTTAGTAAGGCCTTGTCTCAAAATTAAAAAATGTCTGGAGATTGTAGTTCACTGCAAATGCCCCAGTATGGAAAAAAAAAAGCCATATGCAGTGATAGACATCTATAGTGTCAGCTACCTAGAATGCTAAGGCAGCCTGGGCAAAACAATGACTTTTTTT